ATGCTGAGGTAAATATGACTCTTTGTCGTAGAAATTTGAAAACTTGATACACCATACTTTTCTTAATTTTTCTCAGATATAAATACACTTCAAATTAAAGTATAATATATAATAAAGAAGCATTTTTAATTCTCTACAAGCTGCTGCTCTTAAAAACTCAATTATAAGTCCTCTTTGAAAAGAGATATGACGCCAAAAGACTGTGATAGGAAAAACGGTCTCTTACATACTGAAGTGCATCTTTATCAATCGTCGTAAGCCAAGAAACTTTAGCAAATATATCGTATTGTAGCTATGATAGCGGTCGACAATACGATGTACGCATTTTGACCTACAAGTGCACGTACTATTGTAACATCATGCATGAAATCCACTATTACAGGAACAAATGTATGAGCCTAATGTGTCTGTGCAATTTCCCTACATGCTGTCGCAGTTGTCCATTCCTAAGAGGCATTCGTTCACATCTTTGCAGATACCGTTTGTACATACTCACGAATAGCCTGGGTTCAGGCCTAGATACATTCATTACGACAGAACATGTAGAATTATACTGTTGTTGTCAAAAGTAAGAAAGATTTGACTATTTGTATTAAAAAGATCGGAGTATAAAAAAAGTAAAAGGCAGAAAGTGTAAGGCATTTTCCCAATTCTTAACCGACTCAATTTGTTTTTACGACAACATTCTATAATTTAACAACAATTCGTAAAGATTTTGCAATAATCGTTTCAAATTGTTACGTTACATCTGATTAGTAAAAAGTACATGATATTGTCCTCGTTTATCGTATAATTTATTCAGAAACTTATGCTTAAACTATAAAATGACAACTAAATAAATTTGTTGTTATAATCGGTTTTTAGTTACAGAAAAGTCAAATCCGTTTAGCAATCAATTGGGTGTATAACAAATTTGTTTCGTTTAAATAAAATTAAGTAAAGTCGTTTACATCGACTTTTTGTAATAGCTCGCTTTAATAAATAATTATCAGCTTGTACGTAATGTATGTTAATCCTAGTATTTGTTCGGAAGGAAGACGAGAGTATTTTGATATTTGACTGTGGACGAGATCTTAGTGGAAAAGAAGAAAGTATGTTAAAAAACTGTATAAGAAAAAGGTACCTTCTAATTTAGTGTACTGGTATTCTTGGAAACTTTGGTTTTCAACCACAAGATTAAATTACTAATATTCGATGATTTTTGATCGACGCCTATAATTAGCTCCCAATAGATAAAAGATAAATCACAAAAAAAGCAAAAATGTTAGAAAAAAATCTATATTTCAACATAAAGTTGAGATTTCGAACGTAATTTCATTAAACCAACGAAATCTCTCATCATGACTAATGACTCTCAATAAACTTGGACGATATGAATTAACTATTACAAACGTCAATGAATGTGGCAACAGACGTACGATAAACGTTTATAATATTTATTTTAAAAAAGCTCTACCGTCAGATACTTTATTTTTAAACAGTGATGCCCACAATTATCCATAGACAGATTAAGAGTAAATTTGACTCAACATATCCATTGCAATCGATGCATACTCTTTCAAGAGCGATGTCATGAAGAATTTTCCTTTTTGGGAAAACGAAAAATGACACGTTTTCCTTATACGTGAACTCTGCAGACTCTCGCGGTACCTGCTACATCGTTTACGTGATTGTGTAATTCCATAGTTTTCTTTCATTTTCCCACGGGAAAATGTTTTACATCTCTCTAGGTTTATAGGTTTTTAGATTTTCAGATCTCTAGTATCCGCGAATTCGAGGATCCCAGTGTCATAGTATTCGAGAATTGCAGGATTTATCTTATTCGAGGATGCCACTGATATAGTATTTGATAACCATACGATTCATGAATCTTAGGATTCGACGATTCCAGGTTTCGTGCATTCCACAGTTGTAGTAACGGAGAACTACACTATTCAGGAAGCGCAGAATTTCGGAATTCGAGGATCCCAGTCTTATAGTAGTCGAGAATTCCAGAATTCTATTATTCGAGGATCCCACTGATATAGTATCCCACAACTATACAATTCATGAATTCCAGGATTTCAGTATTCGCGGATCCCACTGTTTCAGCATGCGACAATTCCAGGACTCGAGAATCCGAGGTTCCGTTAGCTTCATATCAGACACATTCCGATAGTAGACACTGTAAGCTGTCTGATTACGTGCTTGGTTCAATAGAGACTTTTTATGGAAATATTATGTTTTTGATAGGGTAATGGTCTTAAACTATCAGACTTCTTACTACCAAATTTCTTAATGCACCAGATTTTGGAGCAGCATATCGTATACCTTGGCTCTTTCAGTTTACATGCTCAATGAATTACATAGATGTTAGAGAATGATGATAGCACATGACTTGGCGGTGAAAACTTATAAACATAAACATGATTTGTTAGTAGAATTTTTATTTCTATAGTCATTGTAATAATACCATTTCTCTTCTATCATAAAAAGTTATATTTCACCCTTTGCCTGCATATTGTTTCTATTTTTTTTAAAACACTTAGAATAAATTAATTCGATGTGTTTTTTCTATCAAAATTGTAATAAATATTCCATTTAGAAAAAAGGTACTTTTGACAACATTATACATGAAGTGCACAAAATTTTCAAAAATTGAAACTGTTTTTACATAAATATTAACAAAAAATAACTTTCTTATACATGACTCGGAAAAGCATGAAAAACTGAGCAAAATTGTATCCTCGAAGCTTTAATAAAATAAAGTTTTTCTTATAACAATTCAGTTGTGAAAAACCCATTGGTTTTTAAAGTCCGTGAATATCACTATGGAAAGCAGATCAGTTCTCGTATTATGTTGGTTCTGTAGAACACAATCTTCTCTGTTAAATGCCACCAGTCTCATCGCCATGAGTCCAGCCGCTCATGACAGTCGAAACTGGTAAATTTCATCGTTTGAACTGTGACTTACGTGGGGTGTCGCTCTTCCACCATGAGCAAGCTAACAGCGTAGTGAAAACTTTATTTATATGACTTTATTTATGGATTAAAGCTAAAAAATGTTCTAGAAAAGATATTTCCTTCGAAATGATCTGTTACGGACACACAGCATAAAGTTTTCTTGATCGTAAAGTAAGTAGTGGAATACTGCATTTGACAAAAATGCTGTAGAAAGCCAACATAATACAAGATGTCATTTTTGTATTAAGCCAGAGAATATCATTTTTGACAAAGATAGATATGATAAAGTTGATAATATACTAAAAAGAATACGTAATACGCTTCGCAAGCTGCTGAAAAAAACGCTTCATGCGGTTGTCTGTCCTGAAATTTTTACCGGATATACTACGGTTTTGTTTTTCGATTACATGTATCGCGCTGCTTAGAATAATAAAATTCAACATCGTGTTAGCAGTTTGATATATAAATGGAACCAGGGATGAATTAAGGCTAAAATCTTCCTTCTTTAAATTGATGATTTTCGATCTCGTTAACTAGATCTCGATTACCTTTAAGGAATCATTATTTGACTCACCTGAATTTAGGACTCATACATGCTTCGACATTGGTTACTGCTGGGATCAAATAATAGTAGTGGATAGTAGTAACAGTAGGAAATGGTAAGGTGTTGAAAACCCAATGAACCAAAATAGCTTCTGTTTTTCGAATGCCTTCAATGATGTTTGTTCGATTTGGTTGTTTATCAATGGGTTTGCGACGTCGAGTATTTTCTACTTTTGTGTATCCGTTGTTTGTATGCTTGATTTCGACCATTTTTTAGCTGACCGACTGGCAACAACAAAGTTTAGCGAGTTATTTTTATTCTGATTTACGAAAAGTTTACAGTTGTTATTATTTGGACTTGGAATTCTTTTTCTCGATTTCTGGTGAATGCACTTTTCGTGATCCTGTCTTTCGCTGTTAGAAAAAATATTCGTTCTCGGTATGGTCTCATCAGGATTCAACGGGTTCTTCTCGATGTACCATATGAGCGTATCTATGGCTGTGCTTCAGTCCACAGCAAGTGTCTGAAATCGACATATTGAGTTATTGGTGTCTCGATACCAACATATTTTCAAAGTTTCTTCCGATTTTTTTGGCTGCTTCCAAAAACTCATTCGTGTATTTAAACGTTCTTTTTCTATTTTTAAACAAAGATTACTTCTTCTCTTTTCGTACACTGATGCTTACCTAAATTAAACCACAGATCTTCAACAATTACTTCGCTGATCAACTAATAAAGCAACAAAATATTGTGTCTGTACCAGTATGAGTGCTCTGCTTTTGTGCTATTTGATAGTTTTGTTTTTCAACAATTTATTTTGTTCTGCTCAATTTTGACGCCGACTATATGTTTTAACTTGGCAAATAAACACACACATCTCTCTTCTAGGAGAATTCACTGAGAGCCTTCAGTTAGTGACCATCATACAGACCGTCACCAGACTGTATATTGTAACAACAAAGATATAAATAGACATAAAAGGAAGCTGAAGTTTCTTAGAGTTTAAATACATTTATGGACGTATGTATCAGTCGCTGGTTCCCAACGGGAGACTACGCCCTTGATCATCAGCTCTGTCAATAGTAAGGCAACACTGTGTAAACTTAAAGGATAAGTACGGCGGCTACTGCTTTACTCTGCATCTTTTTTTATCAACTGACGCCATAGTGTTTTTTATAAGTACATATTGTTTTCTTCTATGTAAAAGAAATAAAAGAAATCTATTTGTTGCCCTTCATGATGTCATTCACATATTAAGATATTGTTTTTTACGCTTTTGTCCTCATCATGTGTTCATAGTAAATGGATGAGAATCCATCTTTTACTCATAAAAGGCCATTAACATTGATTTTGTGAGATGCGAACGATGCCTGACTTTTTTTCTTTTTTCTCTCAATGATCATCTATATTTGCAAGGTAATATAAAACAGCTTCTTTATTATTTTGAAACAGAGATTGAACACGACACGTTTATTTAATTATTATATACTACTTTGAATATTGAACGAAAACTATGGCAACGACTGGTCTCACAGCAGCATCAACATCAGCAGCCACGCGTGACGACGATACACATGGAGCTGGTGGAACGAGTGGAACAAGTGGCTCGACCGGTCAAAGTGGAATATCCAGTTTTAAACAAGCTGGTCCATCTGATATGCAGCAGCTACCCTCTGATACAAGTTTGGGCATGAGTGGCGCAAGCGGTGATCAGGGGCGTATTCCTCCGTTGGGAACCAGCGACTGGAACATAGATCCATAAAAGATTTAAACTCTGACAAACTTCAGTTTCTCTTCGATACCTCCTTACATTTTTGTGACGCTAGAATATACAGTATGAGCAAAAAAGTCATCCATATAGAATTTATTTTAAATTAAAAATCGACTGGAATATATTAACAACTGGAAACCTCGTTCAAAGACCCACAATACCTTCCGGTTTAGATTCAACACCTGGAAGTAGGTAGCTACAAACAATCTCGGAATAAAGTTGGATAGTTGTGGACTTACCTTTGAAATAGATTTATGTTAGTGAAAAAAGGAATGAGAATTGTATCGAAAAATGTTGACACATTTCCGATTTTCAGCATCGTTTTAAACATCAAATTTTTCAAATTCATTTCTAGTGAGACAAATCTGATTTTTCAAATAAGAAGGAATAAACTCGATTTCTGAAACTTGAACTATGTTTGTTTTTTGCATGAGGAGATAACTCAAGATTTTCTAGAGGCAACCAAGCAAGAATTTCATTTTCAGCGGTTTAGGCTTGGAAGTCCTCAGACTAGTAGGTAACCTTAAAAACTGAGGAAACATACGTTTTCCACTATAATGAGTATTATTGCTATGTGTTCTATTCGGAAAGGATTCAGAACCGGATCACATTATGCGATTTTCAGCTCGTTTTAAAGCTCATAATTCACTGAAAAACAATATGAATGACTCAAAAACTTCAGGGTACGACCTTTTACGGGTGTTCTATATCTTGACAAACATGAAATAACACGACTTACAAAAACTATTTTAGTCTTTCAAATAATTTTCTAAAGAACGTCGGAAACAAGAGAATTATTTGTGATTGATACTATCACCAAGTTGCCAGAACCAAAGTAGTTTTATTTTGAAATTTTCAAGTCATTTACGTTGTTTTTCAGCGAGTTAGAAGCTTTTCAAAGCTGGCTGAATATAGCTGAAAGAATGGTTTGTGGTATTTGAATAAAACTTTGGCATCTGATAAATCTAGAGGAACATCGACAAAATAATCCTCAGCATTGATATTTTTCATATGAATCATTGTAAACTGATAACGTTAGATTTTTAATGCTAATTATTTTGGATGAATGACTATTGGCACCTCTTGGAGTGCCAACAAGGGGCAGGTGACACCTTTTCATCCTCACCTTTTTGGGGGGGGGGCGGGAGTGACAGTAGGTGTATGAGGATAGACCACTTCATAATATTACAACATTGGTAACACACCTTTATCTAAATTCGTATGGAAATGTTACAATAGATGCATTATTATCACGTTTTTCAAGAAAACTGTCAAAAAGCATTGTTCTAGAAAACGAAAAAGGCTAATTTATGCAAAAAATCAAGTTACTAAACCACTGTGTAAGTACATTTTGAGACCGTTATTAGCAGAAAAAGACATTACTGCAATAGGAGTGCAAATTACTTAAGGTTCCACTTGTAAAAGGATCGATTACAAGGATAAGCTCACGGTCAAATATCCAAGAGTCTATACTACCAGCATCTGTATCATTTTCTACGACAAAATTAGTACTGTACCAAGTTACACGTATTTCCTTACAATCTCTGAACTACATCAAAAAAGTCCATCACTGAATGCACACTCTTTACTGTCAATCAACATTTTCTGAAATTTTCGGTTATGAGACAATAACAATGGGTGATCCGTTTTTTTCTATTTTATTAACCTGACCGGTTTCGAATTCTTCTTTAGAGGTTAACAAAAACCTGTATGAAATGAATAGGAAGGAAGGTCTCTTCTTTTATATATACAAAAAAATATTTTTATACATAGATAAAAAAATGATGTAATTGAATAGAATGTCTTTCGATATTCTGGTGAATGATCGTTCTGCGCATGATAGAATGTACACTTGTTTTCGTTCTATTGATATGCGTCTGTTATTTTTTTTCTTACTTGCCTAAGTAATTTTTTTACCTAAAAATGTCCTTATATTCCGGTTTCGGAGTCAATTGTTATACTCATGATTTTAAGGTGTAACCTGTCTTGGCTGCCCTTGTTGTCTTGCTGGTTCTGATTGTCGCACCGGCTCTATTCGTCTGAACTGCTCATATTGTTCTATTGGTATAGTGTATACCGGTGGAATCTGAGGAGTTTGTTGATGTGCCGACATCATCTTTCGTAATAAGATCAATTTTTTGAATTTACTTGCCAAAGCAAATTTTACAATAACATATGCCACTATGAGGATGACTACCACAATACACATGATTAATGTAATATCTCGCCATGTCGGGTGTACCCGATGGGCAAGATCTTCAAGTTGTTTTCGATGCTCATCTAGGCGTCTGCGTACTTCATTATTGATAACCACATGTAACATCTCTTTGTGTTTATCATCGACATGCTGCACCGTCTGCGCGTGAGGATCATGTTTATTACCTCCAAAAAACATGTTCAATTTTTATTCAATAATCAATAATGTATGAATGAACGAATAGAAGGAAAATTTTTTTTAGTATAGAAGTTGGCCAGACTTCCATAAGATGTGTATAATGTTGTTCGAATGATAGAGAATATATTATGATATCATCTATATACGCCAAGGCATAGTGCCAATGGGATGGTCCAAGAATATGATTAATAATTCTTTGAAATGTTGATGGTCCATTGCAAATGCCTTTTGGCAAAACGGTAAATTGAAAATGGTTGTCTCTGGTCGAAAAAGCTGCCTTTGGAGGATCTGCAGTTGCCAATGGAATTTGAAAATATCCTGATCGGAAGTCGAATTTTGTGAAGTAAATGGAATCGGCCAGATGATCGAAAATTTCGCTGATTCGCGGTACTGGGAATGCATCTTTTATTGTGATATCATTAAGTTTCCAATAGTCGATACAAAACTTCGTGGAATTGTCTTTTTTCTTTACTAACGAGGGAATCGCCCCAGGTGCCCAACTCCGATTTCCTTCATTCATACCTCGTTTTATAGAGCACATCGAGCTGGTAAAAAGCCTAAAAGGATTTTTGCCTATGGCTCTTGAAGTCTCGGTGGTTTTCTGCAAAACCGGTTTTTGAGAAATTCTAAAAAATAATCAAAACCTTTCATAGTGAGGCATAATTATGGCCCGCACATTTCTGATTAAAATGAGACGTCTCCCAGCTCTTCACGACCTTTCTTCATATAACAGAATTCCTTTGGCATGTTTCATATTGGTTCGTTGCACAAAATTCTTCGGATAAAATCTGGATAGCAACGCTTCACCAAATATTTTTTCAAATACTGTGTCCGCACCACCAACCTTGGCTTTAAAGTTGTACTTCCGATCAAACAGATCAACAACTGAATGCAAAGAACTCTGTTTAACTGATGGTTTAACGTAATATGTATGGTACAATTTAAGCCGATCGCGCTTTCTTTGTCGAGAATTAAGTCTAATAGTATTTGGTGGTACGCCGATATCGGTGACAGCTTCAAATTTGAACTTACCGTGACGTGTGGTTATTTCAAGGTATTTCGTTTCACTCAAATCAATATCAGTTGCATTAACAATAGCATAGTTCGTAATATCTTCGTCGTAATACAATAGTGAACTAATTACGGTGAACTTTTTTGACATTTTTTAATTCCCGAAATTGTGTGTGAAGCGAAGTCAGAAATTTAGAACAAGCAGTTATCATTTCTCTTCTTTTTTTTCTTGATATCGTATTCTTGAAACAAACGTGATAAGCACGTACGCATCATTGTTTTATGAATGGAAACACGCAATATTCAGTAGAGTTAGGTAGTAACGAGAGCATAAAAATAATGTATGAAATGTTTTCTGTTCTTTTTCACTCACTCTGAAGTGAACAAGAAACATGAACGTTCTTCAGACTTGTAGCCGGTTAATGTGTGCCATATGTAGCCGTCGAACAAATAATTCAGCGGTTTGTCGTGAGTGCCTTTCAGAAAGTCGAGCAGATTTTTTTGTTCAAGAGTTATGTTTACATGATCAGTATTATACAACTACGATCAGTAATTTAGGTCTTGACCTTGTCGATGATGAATCTGTCGAAGACCATGTATTACGAATCATAAATAATGGAGAGTATACGAGTGTTCTCACTTTAGCCGCTCTATCATCGGTATTTGATCGTCCTATACGATCGGTATATCCGAATGTTAATGGAGATATCAGTGGTGAAGAAGATGGTTATTATACATTGCTGAATCGGACATTTGAACCACGACAAAAGTCACAAAACCCTTCATCAGCATTGCAAGTTATGTGGTCGGGACCGAAACCAGAACGTGATCGAATATGGCGCACAAACCATTTCGTGCCACTTCTCTCTACACATCAACAGCAGATGAATACACAATC